GTATGAGCCCGCGCGTTCTTATATAAACACAAGGAAAGTTTCTTGAGGAAATGGGGCTTGGGTCGAACCAGCCTAGTGAAGCAGGCAAGCCTAGCTTACCTTACATAAATAGGACTTAAGTGAACTTTGGGTCAGTAAATTTGTCACTAACCTAATCGGGCCACTGCAGGTTATGCGAGGTTCGTTCTAGATTTCTTGTAGCCTTGATTCAGCTAGAGACCGCAGATTGTCAAGTGTTGCCTCTTTACCTTAAAATGAAGGAGGAGGTGAGGTGGGGGTAAAATGCAGGGAGGGAGGAGTAGCTATCTTTTCTGAGTACCGAGACTGCCACATTATTCGGGAACAGAGAGATCTGCCCCAAAAAGTCTGTTTGCGCCTGAAGACTTGAAGGGCTTTGAACTTTGAGAATAATTAAAAGAAAAAAAAATGCGCGAGTGAAACCCGCCTTTCCCTGAAAGAAGTGATGAGAAGTAAAAAAAAAAACAAAACGATTCCCACAGCAGCTTTGTAAGGAGCGACCACACCGCCACCTCGAGTGTTTCTCACGCAAAGCACGTAAATTTGCGACCATGTTTAGTAGTCACCATTGGTGTGCAAACACCATATTTTAAAAAGTTTAAATTACTTTTTATGAGCTGACCTTGATATGTTTACAAAATTGCAATTTTTTTTCAGATTTATTGAGATTGCGGTAACAACAACAACGACAAACTGCAGTCTATGCAAACCTTACATATGATTAACCAAACAACAAATAATAGAATGTTTTGATTCATTTTAAAATAAAACAATAATCGATGCATAATTTCTATTTAAGAAGGTCCTGATTTCCTCTTCCAAGTTTCTTAAAAGACTTATTTATGAAGGCGGCTTGTTTTTGACTGAAGAAATCCCTGCCTTTGATTAATATTTCTTTTTCTAATGCTTGAAGTTGTGTATCTGATTCTACTCCCGCTCTAGAAAAACACCAAACGCATTCACAAAGTTGACCTCCATGTAAATTATTGAAATCACTTGCTGAAAAAGAGCTGATTAAAAGCCTGTAAAATTCTTTGCTTCCTCTCTTGGCCTCGATAAACCCACGCATCAACATGCGCTTTTCTTTCATAGTGAACTCCCGAACTCCACGGTGAAAGGCTTCTCTTTCAATGATATCAAACAGCTCACTGTCTGACTTATGAGCTCTTCCAAGAGACCAGGCAACTTGACTTAAATCACCGTTTGTTACGTCTGTAATTTTCCTTGAGCACAGTTCACGTTCAATGTGCGCCACCAACTGATTATCGTGTCTTCGAGCAGAGACAAAAGACCATAAGATCAAAAGCAGCTCATGACTTTGAAACTTGTGGACAGATCGTTTTAAAACCTCTTTCTTGACAAGTTCAAAAATTTTTGCCTTCGTCAGTTTTCTTTTGGCAAAAGACCACACAATTTCCAACAAGTGGACGTTGAGGAACTTGTTTACGCCTCGTGAGAGAAGTTGATCATCCAAAAAAGTGAAAAACTGCTTACTCCCTTTTCCAGCTTTGCTAAATGCCCAAAGAATCTGAATAAAACTACCATTATTAAACTCGTGAGTTCCGCGCCTAATAATCTCTCCTTCTACTCGACGAAATAACCTGTCTGCTTTAAAACCCCTCTTTGCAAATGACCACACAAATTCTGCAAGGGCATGATTATCCATCTTCAAGAAGTCTCTTGAAAGGATTTCTTCCAAGAAGACTCGAAATAATCCCAAAGAACCATTCTCTGCCTTCGCAAATGACAGTAATATTGCGGATAGCAACTGATTATCAAACGTAGAAATTTCTAAGTGACCATTTAGAATGGCTTCTTCTAAGTCTCGGAAGATGTGTGATGCTGTTAACTCTAGGTTGGCACAGCCACTGACAATCTGACAGATTCCTGCGTTATTGAGTGCCAAAATGTCACGTGAGAGAATCTCTTTCTCACAGAATTGAACGAGTTTATGATTCTTCTCTTCTATTTTTCCCAAGGACCACATCACGTTGACAAGTCCTTTGGACTTACATTCAGATATATCTTTTGAAATATTTTCCAGTAACTCAACGTATCTGGTACTTTGTCCTTCTTGCGCTTTTTCTCGTTCTTTCTCCAACACTAATTTCTGTTTTTCATCCCTTCCTATGATCTTTGCAATACAATAAAGTATTGTGACTTTGTTCACAATATCAATTGCATCTTTAACACTGTCAAACAATTCAAGTTGTTCATCAACTTTTCGTATTGATATTATTCTCTTGTTGAGATGGATGTCGTCAATAGATGGGGAGGATGACTTTATACTGTAGCCGACAGAAGGATTCATCGAGAAGAAGCTGTTCATTATCCTTGCTGGCTCAATGGTTTGGAGTACTCGTCGCTGTGAGGTACCAGTTAGTGATGAATATCTTTGAGTCAAACAATGAAATACTCCAAAAGAACGGCAAAGCCTTAATTTCATAGCTGTGAACATTATTGGTTCTTCTTGCAAAGTTGACGAAATCTGGCAAAAAAAGAAAAGAGAGGGTAAAGCAAGAGAATGAGCTTCACTATCAATGCAGAAACATTTATTATTGAAGTTGACCGCAAAGAAGGATATGCAGGTTGCCGGACAGGCATATAAAGGACACAGTGTTTCTCTCCTTATGTGCCAAAGAATAGCTGTGTAGGTGGCAATATGTTGCTGCAACTTAATCCCTAGATCAGACCCCTTTAAGGAGCTGGTTTGGCAAAATTTGGTTGATTATCTATTTCTGCTGGGTGCCTAGAAAACCTAGCTTTCCACCACATAACCTACGATGAAACACACCGTAACGGGTGATTTTGAAAGTGGGACAGAATTTTGTTTCACACATGAATGGCTTTTCTAAAAATCTAGTCACACACACTAATAATACAGGAACTTATATAACGCCATTTCCGCGAGCTCAATGGCGCACACTACCCGTATAAAATGTGAAAGTAATGGTTAAGTGTTCAAACATATCTTAATGAATGATGACACACTTTCCAAGACATATTAGCTGTCTCTGTTGGATCAATAGTATTTCTCCTATTAGTAATGTCTATAATAACAATACATGTCTTTATCATTGTTATTGCCTGATGTGTTTTGTTGTTTAATAAATGTTGTTGTATCACTGAAATGACAAGAAAGACACTTGTAGTGATAGATTTATTCTATAAAACGTCGACTTTATTGCTAAAATTGAGTTGTAATTCGTTGTTATCTGGCATTTGTGACCTCACGTTGCCAACTAAAAATGCCACTTTGAAGTTTTCAGTTAGTCAACATTTTTCTCATCCATCAAGGGATTGCGAGTGTTAGAATAGCTGCTATGAGGTCAATGTGTTCTATCATACCAAGGAACAGTTTTAAGTCAACTTGAGGACTAAGAGTCAAAATATTTTTCTGTGTAAAGTAAGATTCTTACTCGAGGAGAATAATATCCTGCATGATGTTTATCTACCTCACTTTCTAAATATATTGTGTGCGAATATCAAACTTTTAAAGTGTAAATCAACTCACTTACTAAAAATACCTCTTGCAAGTAAATGCCTAATTCTGAGTTAATAAAAATCGATCGCCAGACTTAAGGGTTTTTTTTTTAAATTTCCTTTTGTAGTGAACTGCTACTTCTATCAAATAAGGACATGTACAAAACATGGACCTTTTTGTGGACCCAGTCCATGGACGAACCCAGTTAACAACCCATAACTTTTGAATTTTAAGAAGAGCTCTAAACGAATTTTAGGAACCTTAAATACACGAAAATGTGTCAATAAATTTATATTAACAGGATTAAAGGATTTATTACCTATTTTTGTACATATTATTTTATGACTGTAAGTAGCTTTGTAATTCAGCCTTATACGTACAATGTATCGCTGCAATGAGTTTCTTGTAATAAACAGTCACTATGCACTTGCTCAAACCTTTCCTTAAGTCCATACATGGGTTCAGTTTAGTCTGGAAGGAGAAACAATATCTGAAGGGGGTATGGGGAGAAGTAGGGAGGAAGTGTTCACGCAGGTAGCTTTTTTGTGCATCGTTGCGGAAATGTTTATTGGTACACTATCAAACAATGTGGTTGGTCAGACGTGTTACAAGTTTGCAGACACTTACAGGATGGTTCATGTAAATAATTTTACCATTCATTCAAGTCGAGATAGTTGTCATTACAAACACATAGACATTAAGTTTCCTCCGTAGTCTCATACACAGGAGTTTTTGTTTCAATTTTCATGCCATCTGAAGACAAAAAAAGAGAGCTGCATAAAAGAATACTTCCTTCCTACCACTCCTCCTGCTGAGTTCAAATATTGTTACTCCTTCACTAGAGTAAAACGAACCATTGCATTGGAATGGAATTAATTGAAAAAAAAAGAACAAGTGTAAAATATGAGGAGCCCTATAAGGTTGCTAAATTCGTTTAGACTTCTGGTAAAATATATAGTATATGTCTATCAGCTAACACTTTCTGCAGTGCTTCACTAAGTGTGGCACCAAGTTTTAATTGACCAAACATTTTAGAAAAATGGCTTAAGACATTAATTAGCAAACAGCAAAAGGACACTGCTCACCTACAACTATGGGATCCCATGCATGGTTGCAACAGGGACAATATTAAAATCCTTAAGCTTACTTCAGCAAAATGAAAATCAAAACAATCAGTCAGAATAAAAGGGAAACACCGACCTCCCCCAACCCCCAATTGATATTTCTGATCATAACTTCTCACTTTTGGAGCAACTAAGCAATGCAGGGCCACATTGTAAGGTCTTAAATAGAAGTGGCTAGGTGGCTCGCTATTCATTAAGAAGAAGGGAAGGGTAAGCTTATTCCTCACGTAGTGAGGTGCAAAGAGCCTCGTGAAGAGAGTTTATAATCTCGTCACGCGTACAGTCTTAGCCAGCAGCAAACTCAGACACCCCATATTTATTTTCATTTATGAATCTATATATCGCTTGGTGTCCACCCTGACGTCATCTAGCATATGGCGTCACGGACCATGTCTTGTAGTGGTAATAAAATGGCCTGGTACATAGGAGGTCTCGAATTCGATTCCAGACAGAAGCTGTTTTTCTTTTTCTTCTCTTTTCTTTTTTGTTTTTCGTTTTAGTTAAGTTTTTTAGTTATTGCAGTTTAGTTTAGTTTTTTTATATAGCATAAGTTTTTTAAATTTATAAAATTTCTTCCCTAATGCCTTTAATATTTCCCTTTCTTCCTACTACTTGCCATATGTTCCCCCGAAGTGCTACGTGAGGTCCTGTGACTCACGTATTTCTAGTATATATTAAAAAGTGTTAATAAACTGTTAGAACAGAAAGCTTAAGTGAGCAGGGTGCAAAGAAAATCATTTTTACAGCTTGCCTTTCAGGCAAGCTGAAGCTAGCATTATATTTACTAGCCCAGTCGTCATTTCAACTAGCCCCAAAAGCTTTTTGACGAGCAGAACTGATTTCACAGTTCTTCTGTCATTCGCATTCCTCAAAAAACATCACTTGCCCGTCAGGCAAGTTAAAAACAGAATTCCACTAGCCACGGGCTATGGGACACTACTTTCTTTGCACGCTGGTGATGTTCTTATAAATACAGGGTTCTCGTTAAATTCTAAAGTAGACATGTAGGATGTAAAAAGTAGGCGGCTTGGCAATCAAGTGCTGTAGGCAATTTGAGGATTTCACTCTCTCCCTTTATTATACCCATACAGAAGACGTCTCCGACCTCAAAGTAGCCGGTTTTTTAGCCGGTACCCTGAAATTCATGGTCTTACAAAATGTGTAAGTGGTACAACGATAAGTATAAAACAATTTGCCTTGCATTCTGTATTTATACGGCATTTTTTTTTTCGTTCTCCTTACCTTTTGATCTCTAATAATCCCTGTTGCATTTTAAGCACGCAAATGTACCGCCATTTTGTGGATACATGGACATACCGTGTGCTTCTACACGAGGTACCATGTACATACCGCGTGTTACTGGGCACTAGAGAAGGAAAAACGCGCGGAAGAGAGAAACCGCGAGAAACAGTTGTTGCGTTATTCAGGGAAATTAATTTCTTCATTTGCATCTATTCGTTGTTTTGTATTTGGTTTTAAAGTTTTCTGGCTTTTACTAAACGCGTGAAAAGCACCTTGGTAATGGAGGGTTCCTCTTAATGAGATGTGACTGTGATCAAAGTCTTGACCTCCCTGAATGCGACTCGCCATTTTTAGCCTGCGATAAGGTGAGCGCTATTTTGTGCAAAAATCTCTCATTGAGATGCTGTCTTAGAATTCTCGAGAACATGTTTGAACATTCAGAAATTTTTTCTTTGCTAGGCTGGTCTCATCATTAAGATACTGCGCTTTATTACGGTGGAACCAAGGGATCATCAGAATGACTGGATCGAGCGAGGAAGATGATATGCCACCCACTGTCTCTTCAACAAAACGTCGGAGCAATAAACGTCCCCATAAGCTTATTTCGTCTGAATCGGATGAAGACGAAGGAAAGGCGAGGACTTCCAGGAAAGTCGCCCACAGTTTAGACAACCAGGAGACTAATGAGGATTCAGACGGTGGAAGTGAGAAGTGCAAATCAACTCTCAACTCTCAAACTCCTCGCTCTTCAGAAAGGCTGCGAAGGAAAGCTTCCAGATCGTTTTCTATGCCAAGTAGGGAAGAGGTGCTCGATTCAGTGTCTTCAGGGAAAAAACAAAACAGTCAGCAAAAAGTGAAGGCCTTGAAGCCAAGGAAACTTGTGAACAACTTTTTAAGAGAGTGAGTGCTCTTGATTGAAACTGGTACATGTATTAACAGCGCGGAGTAACTTCAGAATACCCGACCACTTATTTGCATCTCTTTGAATATCAAAAGTACCTATCGTGTTATGTCTGTTTAAAGTACTCTGAAAGTAGCTGGGTATTGTGGGGAGTTTTTCCTCCAATAATAAATTTTACATGCACACAATCATGTGCACTGCACACAAATATAAAAATGGACGTTCCATTAATTTTATAATACCCACCCCCTTCCCCCCTGGAGGGAAATTTGTTATTGATTTGTCCATGCTCAACTTGTAGCAAGTCTTGCCATTTACAGGGCAAATCTTAGAGCTGTGCCTTTGTCCTCAGTTATTTTGCCAGGGCCCAGTTCCTAAAGGCTGATAAGTGCTAATCTCAAATTAGAATTTTGTTCCATTTTTGTTTACGTTAGAGTAAAATTTTGTGCTATCATTACTGTATCTCGGAGTAAAGGCTCAATGGTACTTTGTAAGCTAGATTTGCATGTTCTCAGACAAGAAATCTCATCTTGTTCTGTATTTTTAGGCGCACTTCATATGTCAGTCGTGGAGAGAGATATGATTCAGATGATAGTGGTTTGTCAGACTTCATCAATGATGATGATGATGATGATGATGATGATGATGCCGAGTCTTCAGAGTCTACTGTAGAAAGTGATGTTAGTGTGAAAAGTAATAAGAAGGATTCTGGGATCTGTAGTGCAAGAAAAGCAAAGAAAGGACAAAGACAGAAATCAGCATTGGATAGTTCAGAAAAGGAAAGCAGTCTATCAGAGGAAGATGATGTTCCATTGTCAGTGTTAAAAAACAAAAGAACATGTAGTCAGCAATTGACTGCTAAGACTTCTAGCCGTATATCTAGTGATTCAGATGAGAGCTTTGCACCTAGAAACAAAACAAATATAAAACGAAAGGTTTTGAATTGCAGTGACTCAAGTGAAGATGATCATCAGACAACAGGACAGCACAACTTGGACTTAAATGATGTGAAAAAAGACAATAATTGTGAAAGGTCTGATAGTGATGATTTGCTGAGTGCTAAAGATTCTAAACCACGCAAGCAATGTGTACCTTTGAGGCCAAGATCTAAGAGAGTAGAAAACCTCACACAACAACATGAGGCCAAGAATCGCAAGATTTTGGGCAGTTTGTTGAAAAAGAGACAGACAGCAAAATTGGATGCTAAGGATAGACTTGCCCTAAAGCAGATGTCTAGCAATAGCAATGACAGCAGTTTGTCTAGTTCTGAAGATGATCATGATCCTTGCAAGGAAGCAACAGAGATCTTTCTGCAGCATAGCAGCGAGCTCGAAGAGGATGATGATGACAGGGACTTTATTGTTGATGTTCGACAATCTTCTGATGAGGGGATGAATTCTGATGGTGTGTCACAGTTTCTTCAGCTTTTAGATACGTTCACAAGTATAGGGAAAGCAGTGGATCCAGAAGATAATAAAATGAGCATGTCTACCGATGAAGCTTCTCTGAAAAGCAGACAAAAAAGGCGTAAAAAGAGAAAAGAAAGGAAAGCTTCAAAGTGGCGGCGTATTAAGATGGCAGATGAAAGTGAAGATAGTGATGAGAATGGAAATGACGTTTGTCATAGGCATCCATTTCTACATGTTGCAGTTCTTGAAAATGACATACCTTTGGTTAAGAAGCTGATGAAGGAAGACCCTGATTGTGTTTATGAGCTTGGTTACAGAAAGAGAACTGCATTGCACCTGGCAGCATTGGAAGACAAAGTTGAAATTGTGAAATTGCTTTTAGATCATGGTTCTGATCGTACAGCTTTAGACTGTTATCATCTTCCTTCCATTGCATATGCAATGGATGGACACCCAGACTGTCTGAGACTATTACTGGATCATACAAATGTGAAAAGTGTTAGTAAGGCAATGAGGAACAATCTGCAAGGCATGAATTTGTTGCATTTTGCAGCTGGAGAGAAAAGAAATGGGTTGGAGTGTGTTGACAGAGCAAAATGCATGGAGCTATTGTTTAGTAAAGACAAGAATTTTTGTTTAAAACTGTTAGAAGAAAGGGATGTTAGGACATTTACTCCTTTAGCTGCTGCTGTTTATGCTGGGCAACACAAGGTAGGGAATGGCCCTTTTCCTTGCAAATTCTACAATTTTGTAAATATAGAATCTGTCTATCAATTTCACATTCCAAGCACAGGCTTACAGTATCTTCCCATTTTTTAGAAGGAATTTAAACAAAATTCACCTCATCGATTGTGCTTTTAGGGATCATTGTGCCCCTGGACACCCGGTTTTTTGTGTCTGCTAAAAGCCTAGCACCAGTGTCTTAGTCTGTGTTTGATCAACTCAAAGGTCACACCATACATCTGATGAGTTTTGTTTGGTTCTTGTCCTCGGCACAGGAGGTTTTTCCCAAATTGCTGTGAAGACACTCGCAGTGGCTCCATTGCTGTCCCTGCACTACTAAATTGCATGTAATTCTTTTTAATTGTAATCTGCAGTGTATCCAGGTCTTGCTCAGGATGGGTGCCAATGCTTTTGCTTATAAGACTGATGATGGAGGTAACATACTACACTTTGCTGTAGAATGTGCATCACATTTTAAAGGTACCTGGGATGCTGAGAAGGACACATCGCAATGTCTAATAGAATTGCTAGAGACTACAAAGTTTCTCGTTAACGATGCTGATGATCATGGTAAGTCAATGTTAAAGTAAATCAGTAGAAACTGTTTAGTAAGTTGCATTTACTGAATAGGATCATACACTGTAGCTTACTGCTACTCTTGAATGGAAGATGAAACAGCAAGAAATAGAATACATGTACATATAGATGTACAAGCTTATGATGATGAAGATCATGCCACGCTTGTTGTTTTCTAGGTTTTACTCCACTGATGTATGCTTGTGAGAGTGGCAATGCTGACTGTGTCAAGGTACTGCTAGAAAATGGAGCATCACTGAATTGTTCTGTGAGTATTGTGTTGGTCCTGTCCATCAGTTGTATGTTATGTACTCCTAGATACTCACTTAAGAGATTTGTCGTGACTTACAGTTGTACATGTCTGATTTTAGTGATAATAAATTAAGTTTTTAATCATTGTTTTTTGCAGTTCAGTAATTTCTGCATCATTTTGGTCCACTGTATTGTCTGTTTGGGAACTGTATTTTTAAGCTAGGCTTTCACATTAAATTAGATTTTGCTGCAAAATCATTCTATACTTTTATAAAGTTTATTTGCACAATGATGCAAAATATTGAAAGACAAAGTTCGAGAACAACTTATTTCCTTGGCATTAGCTACTATACATGTATGTATATGCAGGGCTTCTGATATTTCACACAGAAGGGCCTCTCTTCAACCTTTTGCAAACTTTTTTGCCGACTTCCCTTCTGTCCCTTGACATTGGGAGCTAACTAGAAAACCTAACAGTTTATTTAGCTCCCCAGCTCGCACTTTTTATTTCTCTAATATTATAAAGTTATAACCTGGTACAAATTTTCATTTATGTTAAGGTAAAACTGTAATTTCACCATGAGCTGAATAAAGAATTGCTATTACTGCTCACCCCCTCCATGTACGTTTTGCACTATTCGAGCTACAGTGGTATAGAAAACAACAAACACCCCAACTTTGAATGGAGGGGTGGAGAGTGGATTGTTTTGTTCTCTGAAGTTAACCCCTTTTGAGGACAATGCCTCCTCAATTTTGTCACTGATTTAAGGTTGATTCTCTAGTTCCACTGTCTCCTAGCCCTAATTCATCAATAGTTAGGGCCAGGAAGCAAAGGAATTAGAGAATCAACCCAATAAAAAAAATTTAACCTGAATTCAATTTTGACCTGTAACATAGACAAATGTAGATGTATGAAGTCTATCTCACTTAAAATTAGGAAGAGGTGCATTGTGTCATTTGTCTTCTTTTCGTGCAAGTATTATCGGTGGCTGTCATGTATGTTATATACGTAATTTATGCCATTTCTGTCAGTCTGTTTTCATCACAGTCTCTTTGATTTAACCTGGTTATGCAAAATCACATTGTACGTTGTAAATGTTAATCCAGAAAGAAACAGCTTTTTTCTTTTTATTATATTCCCCAATTAGGATAGTCATGGTACATCAAGTCTACATCTAGCAGCCATGTCAGGAGACACACAGTGTGTTACACTTCTGCTAAACTCTGGACACAAAGTTGATTGTGTGGACCGCTATGGATGGCCACCACTACTTTATGCTAACTTTAAAGCTCATGAGAGCTGTGTATTAGCACTGATGAAGCCCAAGCCCGAGCAGGTCTTTGTGTTGGGAGAGTTGCTAAGACGAGCACGAAGCGAGTTAGAAAAGAAGAGAACTGTAAAGGTAGAAATGACAATTTGATTACAACTTTGTAGACCATTTCATTTTGAAATGTGCTGTACACATTTTCTGTTATAGTAAAACACTCATGGAAAATGAGATGAATTTCAGTATTGCAGGGATTTACATACTATTTCTAGAGTGGAACACAGTTTATCATGTTATCCAACTCCAACAAATGCTTTTCTTGCAGTAGCCATGGTTAGTCCCTGTGAGAAAAAGAGCTCTGCTTTACATGCCAGGATGGGTACATAGACTACACACCATGTTTTACTATGCAAAAATGGTAGCCACATCATGAGGGTCTATTGAAAGGGTGAATGGCACAAGGCCTAATTACTATAGGTACAGCTGTAGCTCCTGATTTGAGATCAATAGGGCCTCTCAAGCAAGAATGTTCCTAACAGTTTGCCATTTGAAATACATGTAGATAGCCATTCATATGCCTTAATTATTGTCTCTTTAAGTTACAGGTATAAATATACAGTTCTTGGCAATTTAGCAGATTTGCAGGAGAATCTACATGTAATAAAATTCATACTTTGGGCTTCATTCCAAGTACCCTTTTATAGTGGTTAGAGAGAGTCAAGATCAAAATAGCTTTCTTCTCAATTGGGAGGAGAAGTGTGACATCACATTAGTTGATTATGTACAACTTTAAACTAATCTTTTTCCAAGGTTGTCAAGAATGTGTTAGTGTCTTTGGCCAACCATGATGCCTACTACACAGTGTTTAATGACTTCATTCGACAAAACCCAGAGATGCTGGAAGAAAACAACTATGGTCTGCTTCAGCACACATGGAGGGCTATCCTTGACTTTGACAACAAAAGAAGATGGTTCCGCACAAAGCTATCACAAGTCAGGTTGGTGGAATTAGACTCAAGCTCTTGAGTTTATTATTATTATTGTTATTATTATTAATATTATTTTCTAATAACCTTTTATTGATAACAGAACTAACTATTAAAACCTATTTACCCATTTATTTTCTTCTTCAGCAACATTAATGTTGCTGAAGAAGGAAAAAATGTTCAGTCAAAGCACTATTTACAAGTCATTTCATTTCTCAAGCTCCTGTTCATTTCGATTAAAAAAACTCATTTCAATTAGAAACAATTCATTTTGATTAAAGATGAAATAAAGATATTAAAAAGATCCTCAAAATTATCAATACTAATAGCGTTTGAGCGACAGTCATCAATGAAGTCCCCTTGTGGAATTTTGTGGAAGGGACTACATTCACTGTTGGTCCACTGTTAATATAATTATATTTTTCCCTGTGATAATGGTAACCTTTTACTATCAGTTTTATTCTTCCTTCTGTTGCCCTTTGTGAAAACCTTGCTTTTATTATCTTGGGTACTACAAAGCTCTTACAAACGATGTTTCTAGAACCAAAGCATGCCTTAGGGTGCATAACAGTGGTGGCATTTAGATTTGACTTTGAAAGTGAAACTGAGTACAGAATAGGAATGTCTTCCTTCAGTGATAGTGACCATTAGTTTATTGGTCCATTTCAGAGGAAGTTTATACAGCTGGTCATGTGAAAGCTTGTCTCTGGAAATTGACAGAGACAATGTACTAGCAAGTGCTATGAATCAGATGGGAAGAATACTGGGACATGCGCTAAGGAGGAGATCACTGCATGTCACTTTCAAGAATGAGCCAGGTGCATGCATGTTTCTTTTGTAACATAATATACAGCCAGTAAGGATGTCTGATGGAACCCTCCATTAGACATACTTGATGAAGCAACTTACAGTAATGTAAATTTGGCTTTATTATTGATGGGCTTTTTGTATAATGCCCATAAGGCCCTGGTTGTTCAAAAGACGGATAGCACTATCCACCAGATAAAGCAATATCCAGTGTACAAGTCTTAGGAAAAGCGATTACATCATCCACTGAATAGTGATTTATCCGGTGGATAGCTTTATGGACCTTTTGAACAACTGGGCCCAGTATAATAATTGTGAAGCTAAAACTTTCCAATCTATGTATTTGTTAGTCTAATACAGTCAACCTGTGCAACGGTCACCCTTGGGAAATGGCAAAGTGTCTGCTATATACAGGGTGACCGCTATATACAGGTCAACTTTGCAGAAAATATAAAGGCAAGTGAAAATTTTAGGAAGTTGTCCGGTGACCGTAATTTACAGGGTGACTGCTACATACAGGGCCGTGATATACATCTACAGGTTAGACTGTATACATTGCCGTCTATCTTTTAGATAACACAAGGACTTAATTTCACACATCACAATGTCAACATGTCAACTCCTGTCTTTTGCCGTCTGCTGACCACTCTCAGTCATCTACATGTAGTGGAGGCAGCATGGTTAGAGCGCTGGACTTGTAGTTCAAAGGCCCCAAGTTCAAGTCCCGCTCTGTTCTTGCTAGTCCCAAGCTCAAATCCTCGGCTACGCTTTTAAAATAGCCAACTGGTTCACCTTGTACCTGTTGGGATTTTTAACCATGTTATGTTTCATCGAAATTATTTGTTTCATTATTCCTGAAAAGCCCCACAAAGGGGTGAAGATAATTAAAGTATCATTTTTATAATTGTTATTGTTATTACGGTATGTAGGTATTTTACTGTTGTATAACAGTGAGGCAAAAATTATTCTGATTGATTGTTCGGCTACACAAAATATTGCTATAAGTCTATAAACAACAGAGGCTCATGGTTGTTGTAATGGATATTTTGTACATGTATAACAGTCCCCTAGAATTTGGTCTTTCCATCTTTTCTTTGCTGTATAATAATTCATGTTTTTGTTGAAGTTGTTATTTTAATTATGCAATAATTTTATTTTAGGCATCTGTACTGGTCCTAAGAGGGAATTTTTTGCCTCTTTCTGCAAAGACGTGGTTGATCCAAAACGAGGCCTTTTTATTGCCACAGATGATGCTCAGTTCAGGTGACCTAAAGACAGTTTTCTACCCTTGGGCCCGTTTCGCCAAAGTCCCGTTAACTTTTCTGGCCCGGAAAGCTATTTTATTTTTGCCAGGTTTGCATTCAAGACCAAATTTGTAAAAATTTTGAAAATGATAAATTGAAACTATCAACTAACTACGAAAATTGACTGGTCTGCGAGCTAGGAACTGTGCTACTACACTGTACATGTAATGAACAGGTTTTAAAATTTGTCTTTGGGCTTGAAAAGTTATGGGGCCTTTCGAGAAACGGGCCCCAGATTAGTTATCTAGTTATACTCAGTCTGTCTCAAATAAATAAACAAATAAATAAATAAATAAATAAATAAAAAGAAACTTGCAAGTTAAAAGAGCACTCTCCTGTTACCATACTGCTCAGTTCGTCATGTAAGTGTCATTTGAATTGTCACACCCCAGTAAATTGTTAGAACCACCTTGTAGAGTATAAAGAGTACGAGTGGCGGGAGAGCGGTCGTCCTTTTTCTTTCCTCAGAGCCACTCACGATGAGCGAAAAACTAAAGTCATGCAAATTTGTGGTTAAAAGGAGGAGAGATTAAGGCGGAGATAGGAAACTGGACGTCAATGATTTTTTTCTTTGCTCGTGCTTCAGCCCTCGTTCCTCGCGCTTTTGCCGCTCGCCCCTAACGCGCGCTCTCGATCTATTGTGACTCTGTTGTGACTCTAAAGAAAAAGTAGAGATTTCTTTCAGTGGCGGATCATACAAAAATAATATAACCATGCAAAAGTTCTGCGAAAGTAGGATTTAATTTGAATGGTAGCACCAAAGGATTTCGTCCAGTCATGTGAAGGTCCGGCTTGCCATACAGCTGTATTGTAATGTGCACTGTACAGTCATGTAGAAGTGAATAGCAGGGTTAACAGTTATTTATATTCAGTCTCCTTTTCATTAAACAGCCCAGTGGCAAACGCGTACTTTGCTAAACATGTCGATGATACGATGCCTCAAGATTCTACTCAGAGCACTGGACACACGTCTGGTTCTGTGGTTAAACAAGAACTACCATCAAATGAAAGCACAAATGAACCAGTGATGTCATCTTTAGGAGGAGAGTATCAACATCCGTCTACAGAGGATGAATCCATGTGTGTAGCAACTCATGATGAGAATACGGCAGTTAATTCACAGACACAAGATTATCTGGCTAACGGACTCTCGGATGAAGAAATTATATCTTCGCTGTCGCAAACAGAAAGCCTTTCCTCTGTAACAACTGATGGTTACCAAACAACGACTTCAGAGCACGTAGACATTGATTCAGTGAATGGTAACATTCGCGACAGTCAACATACACTAGGGAATGTAAGTCAAACAATGTTGGAACAGGCTAACATTCCAGGGGAAGAAGAAATCGTGCCAAATGATGCAGTTGATGACAGTGCTGTTACACGCAGCACAGATGATGAAAATATGGCTCATAATTCTCAGCAACCAACATGGATATCTTGTGTGGTAACTAGTTTTGAAACTAACATCGGCATTTCATCATAGTAGCCAACGGGTTTCCTTCTTCTTTCTCGTCAAGTGGTCATTTGAGGAGAAAAAGAAAATCTCTGTGAACAGGAAGAACAAAAATTATGCTTTGAAAAATTGAACTCAACATTTCGGTGTCGCCATGGTATCATGTTAAAAATGTACACTATGCTGGAAAGTCTTCCATTGTCCCATCTTGAGGATCTTTAAAATCAAACAAAAAATAAAGAAATAAATAATAATAATAATAATAATAATAATAATAATAATAAATAGGATAAAATGCACATATAAATACACGTATTTCAGGTTAAAAAAACAAACAAACAACAAACAAAAAAGATTTAAGAATTAAGGTGACTCAATTCTCGGTTGTTGTTGTTGTTGTTTTCTGTTTTATACGTCCTTCGTTCACTGTTTCCTTTTTTTTCCCAGGAGAATAGTGGTGATCAGTCTATTATAAACCTGTCTTTGAGGTCCAAACTCAAGCAGCTTCGCTTTATTGGTCGCATGGTCGGATTTGCCATTTGCCAGGACCTACTTGTTAATTTGCAGTTGTCCAAACCATTCGTCAAGCAGGTTTGATCATTTTATTCTTAGTCTGGATTGTTCAACAGAATGCTGTGGTGTAGCCCTTTTCAACTTATAGTTTAATGAAACTGAAATAAGTCAAATTCAATTAACCAATCAGAACTCCAATGCAAGTCACAAGTGCTTTCCTCTTGATGTTGTTGTTGCTGTTTTTTTTTCTTTCTTTTTTTTCCACCTTTGGCGCCTGTTACAGCTGATCTGTAAGCGCCAACTTTTCTTTCTTTTTTTTTCTCTTTGTCTTTTTGGAATGGCTCCGTTGTTTGCCGTTCGCTTAATTCGAAAACTATGGACAGCAACAACTCAACTTCAAATTTGAACATTACTAGTGATTAGTGCCTGCCTACAGGAACTGCCGAAACTTTCTTTGTTAATATTATCCGCTAATTTTAAAAGGTAATTAAACGGGAGCATGTTTTGTGCAGCGCTTTTTCGTAAGAGGCCCTATCCCACAAAAATACTGCGTCGTAAATGCCTTTTTATTTTCGATTTTAGGTTCTTGGAATTCCACTTTCTCACCCAGACGACTTGAGTTCATTTGACTATGAGCTTCACAGAAATGCAGTGGTATGGTTACGAGAGAACAGCGTTACGGATCTGGATTTACCCTTCAGTGTTGATGTAATGAATCCTTGGAATTCAAAACCGGTCACAATTGAGTTGAGCGATGACCCCGAAAAGAAATTACTCGATGACAATAAGGTAGGTGTAGTAAAAATTATCTGAAACACGGCGGCGAGTGTTTCTTGCGGTTTTCAACGAAGTGTGCTGAAAAAAATTAATGTGCCACAGCCTACATCATTTGAAACCGTCTGACGCGTTTTGATGAAACTTTTGCCACTGTTTAAAGTTTCTGTTACTGTTCAACCCCTAAGTGTTTGTTAAAATGTTGTTACATTTTGTGGTTGGTTATAATTGTGACTAAATAAATTATTTCATGGCACATTGTTATTGGTCGGTTAGTTCATGATGATAGGAATGCTAATGAACGTTGTCCACAAAAACATAAATTCCTAGTCAAACAAGTATGCATAACAATTCAGTGCAATTTAAGAAATTAATATGCGCTTACTGTAAGAAGTGTGGACAACTTTTCAACTTTATGTGGAGTATGCGTTTAATATGACGATCTAAGAAATTAATATGCGCTTACTGTAAGAAGTGTATGGACAGCTTTTCAACTTTGTGCGGAGCGTTTTGTATGACGACTTGTCGGCCATAATTTATGTTCTTCAAATGGGACGAAATGAGTTAAAGTACGAATTTAACTGTCAAAACCATGCTTTTTTTCTTCGAATATATCTTTCAGTTCTTCATAAATATAGGTCTACCGGCTTCAAACATCGTCGACCGGCAAAATTTCATGGGCAAAAGTGTTAAAGATGATTAATTTAACGAGGGTGTTCAATACTAGTCGTGGCGTTATAGATACCTTCCACGTCGGTAGGCCCGGGTTCGACTCTCGCCGATCGAAACTTTTTTTTTTCTTTTTTTTTTTGGGTCCTTTTGTTTTTGTTTTTTGTTATTTTCGCAAACAAATTTTCATTTTTTTGACAGACTTAAAATATACCGGTAGACTAATTGTAGTTTCATTATCAGATTTCATTTCTAAAATACACTAATTAATAACCCACAAGTTAGCCTTAGGCACCCTTTGATATAATAAAACTTTCGTCCTGTGTTTAGGAACAGTACAGTAAACTTGTGTCTCAGTTAAAGTTGGAGACTTTGATAAAGGATGAAGTAGCTGAGTTTTCTGGAGGACTCAACGAGGTTTGTTGTAAAATTACTGTCACATTACTACTGAAATAACATGGTACAACTGAACTCAGTCATTGCCAAAGCTAATGGAAGATTTTCTAACTGGCGCTGTCTTGAAATTTGCTGACTGACTGGTGTGTGTTAATGACCTACAAAGCACGACTTTCTTGCATAAATGACTCTCTCCCCGAAGTGACGGTTTTGTGAACCTCAAAAGAAAAATTTTAAGGTAAACGTCATACTGTGATTGCATTATCTTTCCTTTTGGACTTCTGTTTCCCTAGTTGTTTACTTGGAAATTGTCGCTGATTAAACAAATCGGACGACCGCGTAGCTAGAGTCCGATTTTGTTAATCACTCGTGTGATTAGAGACCGAATAGACCTCTTTAGCTTGTATGTTTTGTTTTCCCAATAGAGCGGGTCCCAGGGGATCTTGACCCATTGTCTTTTCATAAATTATGCGTAGATATGTACGTGAATAAGACGAAATTTGAAAGAAACAGTTCTCTTGGAGTATTAGAGTGGTTTTCGTTTGAGTGTCGTAAAACCAAAACCAAAGTAATTACTCTGGCCAATCACATAGGACACAGACAATACATTGAACCAATCAAAACTCGAAGTAATTACATGTGGCTAACGCAAAGCGCGTCGTCACAATTGGCTTTGGTTTTACTTCTGATTGGATGAAAAGGTGGCGCGAATCTTTTAAGCCAATCGCATCGTGTAGAAAGTGCAAAACCAATTACTTTTCGACACTCAAATGAAAACCGCTCTATCACATGACCTGTATTGGGAAAACAAAACATATAAGCTAAAGACGTCTATTGGACTCCACTCAGTTCTATTACCATTATAAATTACTCAAGTCAGTCTCTAACCTTTATGCCCCAATATATACATGCAAATATTTCAGACTGATCTCCATACACTTCCTTTAAGAATTAGTTGAGAGAATTCTGATAAAAGATTGAAGTATATTACCTTTGGTGATCATCTCATTAATTCCCAAAACCTTTTCTTTTGATAATTAATTGGCCTTGTTAGGAGAAAATTGAAGTTTAACATTCTTGGACTTAATTGGGTTAAGGTTGTCGTTTTTCTTTTTTTGTTTAAATATTCACAGTGTGGCGTTTGTTTCTTAGATGTTCGATTGATTGTTTCTAGGTTATTCCTCGTGAATTCCTATCGTTGTTTACCGCTGACGAGTTTTCTCTGCTGATTGGCGGCGTAACAAAGATTGACGTTGAAGACTGGAAGAAAAATACCAAGGTACGGAAACTTATCTCGAGTGCCGCTGAGTCCCCTTGAAATTTTATGATTTTTATATTGACCATTTTCACATAGACCATAATGCATCTTGTTTACCCCCCAAATTTTGCATAACCATTGTCTTGAATTTCTCTTGGGACGACTGTAGTACCCTGAAATAGAAAAGAAAAGAGAAGAGGAGAAAATGGAAACAATGGTTATGCAAAATTCTTGGGGGTAAACAAGGTGCTTTATGGTCTATGTGAAAGTAGTGAATTGCTGTTGATTTAAGCAATAGACCACCCTTTTATCCCAAGTGGGTTATCACGTCAGTAAACCCATAGAAAGTGTGGTTTATTGCTTTTATAAAATAACTTTAAGTTTTCAATGAGTTTACTGGCACAATAAACCATAGGTGTTTAACCAATCAGAAAGCGCGTACTGTCGGTGTTATTTTATAAATTATAATGTCCACATGGCTTAGTTTCAATTATTTGAGGCTTTGAGGCAGTAGGCGGCTAAACCAGTCAAAGCCTAGTCTGATCCAAATAGTTAGCTATTACCATCAAAATGTTTCAGTCACAAATCATTCGTATATGTTTAACAGCATGGTCTTTTTTATTTATTATTTTTAATTGAAATTGTTTTTATGATTGTTGTTACTATCATTTTGTTTTCTTTTTTCCAGTACACTGGATGTACACAGGAAGACAATGAAATCTTATGGTTTTGGAAAGTAGTTTCGCAGTTAAAGGAGGAAGAGAAAGCTTTGTTGATGAAATTCTCTACTGGGACGCCCTGCGTTCCTATTGGTGGATTTGCTGCTCTTACGGTACGTAATACGTAATAAAGCGCAGTCTCATCCAAAGTGCAAAGTGCAAGTCTACATTGCTGAAGAAGAACTTGATCAGTTTAGTCAATGCGCGAAAGCTTCCGTTAATTGTATAAATTTAGTGCGGTGTCTATGGATTCCGTTTGATACCTTGATACTCAATGGTGAATTGAGACGTTCCATTTATAACAATCTTTGTAATAATCAGTGCGATCGACAACCGTGTTGTAAAAAGAACTGATGTCCTTAATGCTGGCCGTTGGTCAAAGCGTTATATAGTCTTTAGCTTACCCACAAGTCGAGCTACGAGAGCCCAACGAGAGTCGCGAAAAAGTTAACGAAACGTGAAAACCGAGCGCGAAGGCTCAAAACTTTGAGTGCGAAGCTTTAGGAACGCAGGTTGACATAAGGCACGACCTTCGCGCAGGAGCAATCTACAAACGCGAAGAACTTCGAGTATTTCTATGCGTCGTGCAAACTTAGTAGTTTGGGTGAACGAGTTGTTTTTAAATCGCACCAAAAGGTCGTCGCAAGAAGGACGCGTTGGGCATATTTTAGCCCAGGCAGTGCTCTACTCCTTTAGCCGCGGGGGTTTCGTTTCAGGCCGGACGCCGGACGCAAAGTCCGGTTGTTTGACTTGTAACGTCTGGTAGTTCACACACGATATAATTATTTTTTAAGTGTGAAAATCGTTTTTTTGCCATTTATTAACCAAAGAAAGACTTGACCCTTATTTTACTCACTTAGTAACGCCAAAAAAAAAAAGAAGAAGATAATTCCTGTCATAATTCCGGTCCAGGGAACGCAGGAAGTTGCATTTTAGAGAGTCGAATTTACAATTTCCCGGGGGGGGGGGGGGGCATGCCCCCGGCCCCCCCCCCGGGGGTTCGGCCCTTGGGCCCCCAACCTCCGGCCAAGGCCAAAGGGGGCCCGCCCCCCCCCCAACCCCCCCCTCCCCCTCCTCCCAAATTCCACCCAAAACCCTCCCACCCAACTTCTTGGTTGTGTATTTGTGTTACATATGTTGTGCTTTGTGTTTTTTTTTTTTCGCGGGAGAGGCCCGAAGCGGGTTCGGTGATGTGGGTGGGGTGCGCGGGTGTCCCTCTCCCACCTAAAAATATTTCTTTTAAAATTCCCGGGCGGGGGAAAGGGGGAGTTGTTTTTTTAGGAGGGCAATTTTACCTTTCCCGGGGGGGGGGGGGGCATGCCCCCGGACCCCCCCCTAGGAGTTCGTGCCTTCGGCACTCAACGTTCGTGCAAGTGCTAACGGTGCACGTCCGCCAGCTGAACCACTGCTTCCGCTACTTCCAAATGCTACCGAAAACCCTGTCAGCCAAGTTCTTAGTGAATGAGAAAATAAAAATAGGGAGTTGCATGGCAGCCTGACTTGTTTTTTTCTGACATCTAATCTTATCCTCAGGGCCTTGGAGGAGCTACGAAATTCACCATCATGAAAATAGGAGGAGAACTCAATAAGGTAAACGAGGCACAATTCAATGTTATTATTTTTGGCGAGAAATATTGGCATGGTGAATTACTTATCATGAGAAATAGCTTTTGATTTTCACAACAAATTCAGACAAACAAATCAAACAACAAAATAGCAACAACATAAACAAGAACAAATGATCAGTGTGTTTATTTTTACTATCTTCTTTCTCTCCTTTTTATGTACAGATCCCGATGGCGTCCACTTGTTTTAACATGCTAAAACTGACAAGTTACAGCTCAGAGAAACACTTAAAGGACAAACTGTTAATAGCTATTCGGCATGGAGCGGAGGGATTCTCGTTTTCATGAGGGAGTTAGAGTATCGCGATTCTGTCTTTATATATTGCCGACATTTCACTGAGTGAACGCAGTAAGAGAGAAGAGGTCTTGCAGTTATCGCACGCTACTGGTTGTATTCGCTACATGTTACTGCTGCTACGTTCCTGTGATTATCAACTTGGATTGGGCTACAAATGACCAATTTGAGGAAAGTTTAAAGGAACTGCTTTGCAAAAGAACAATAGTTCTAGGATTATCACTTGTTTTACGTACACTGTTTTTTCAGGAACTGATGAACTAACGTTTCCGTTTACATCCACCACTGATTTCCTCCTACCCAAATGCTTTAAGGACTTGCTTTCTGGAAGAAGAGTGATTGTTTTATAATGAAGGATAACACCATGATTGCATTTCACTACGTGGAGGGATCTTCGTGGGACAGCTTTTCAATAGAGCGTTACATTGCATTGATTATGGGAACTAAATCAGTTAAAAAAAAATGTGTTGTTTGTTTCAAAAGCTACACATTTTGCTGCCGATTTGAGGAAAGGACCTGTTAAGGATTAACATGAGAATATGGGACTTTGATTGTGATGTTATTTCAGTAGGGAAAGGGTGAGGGGATTGTTGCGAATAAATTAGAAAATGGGATTATGAAGTCTTCAAGCGTGCGATGTAAAATTTAGAGGTGCTTTATTTTGGGGGGAGCAGGAGTGGCCCGCCCAGTGGTGAGAGCACTCGCCTCTCACCAATGTAGCCCGGGTTCTAATCCTGGCGTTGACGCGAGAGGTTTTTCTCTGGGTACTCCGGTTTTCCCATCTCCTCGAAAAACAACATTTCTAAAATTCCAATTCGACTAGAAATGCTAGACGAAGAACCGCTACGTGAATATCCTACCTCTAAAGAATTATTTATTTATTTCATAGTATTTATTTATTTAGTTATTCTACAGGCTAGTTGTGTCTTATGATCTAAGTGGAACAGAATTAAAATCTCCAACGGGCAGGAGGCAACCGACTGACAATTTACGAGCGCGGCCGCCTTCGAACAAATCCATCTAGCGGTCGTCGCACGACTCGAACAAGAAATATCAAAACATGTTATAGCGGAAGGTTTATTTCTATTCAACTTTGCTCCCCCAAATTTTCTAGAATCTTCAGCTGAATGGCTCGCATTTCGTAAATTCAGCATTTTTCGGATGTTCTGAGAACTTTCCCGTGAAATTTCCGTGCCATTTGCCTTTGTTTCCAAATTTTCGGCAGTTTTGGTCAAATGGAAGACGCCCCATATAACCAAGCAACTACAGTTATTCAATATCGTAAGCCGTCTCGTTGGAGAGTGCTTTGTAGCTGTGAGCATAGAATGTTTCTCCATATTTTGAGTGAACCTTTTTCTCAAATACCGGAGAATGAATGTGTGCATCTGGACTGGGGGGCTGCCTGTGATTCAGTAACAGAACTGCAAACTTGGTGTATCTGTGGTATCAAAGAATGGACGAACTCGTTCCATTTTTTGCCGAGCCCATTCTTTCCTCAGTTAATCGGTCCCGAGTATTATCCGTGATCTTTCATTTGGTCACCGTATTTTCATTAATCATATTATTAGAGATAAATTACCGTCAATCACTTGTTGCTTTTTTGGCTTATAAGCTTAGGTTACCTGTGCAAAGATCAAACGTTTTGTGGTGTACCCTGAGTTTAAATATGCAAGATTGATATATTTTTGGACTATTACCTTTAAAACAAAAACAAAAAGCGACCAAATTGAATTTAAAATGAGCAGCTTGTTTGGAGCCATCTTGTTCCTTTTAAAAACGGGTTTTCGTATTTCCACCTCGCTTTTATTTTTCAGATTAAAGGTTCGTGTAATTTCGCTTGCGCTCTCGTAACTGTCTTCTGTATTGGCTTCCTTTATAGGCAGATAACAAAAATCTTTGTATTGGCTGTGCTGCTAAAACTATACAAAACAACTTGTTCCTTTTATTGTAAATTATTTGACGAATTTTTGAGAAATGTCTCAAATAAAACGAGATTGTATCCAATTAATTTCGGCTTTTGCCAGAGTTTGGATCAACTATCGATGGAAACTGACTTGGAAGTTGAAGATTTCGAGGTCGAAATTTAAGTATCGCTTAATCTTGATGCGATAAAAACTCTCGAAAAGCTTTTAAAAGCTCATGCAAATTGCAGCCCAGTTTCCTTTAATAGTGACACATTTGGATAGAAAAGTTTTCTTTACGTCTATCATTAATAAAGAACAGTCATTTTCATTCGTAATAAACGTCGAAGTTCAGAGAAGAAAATTTTTTAAAATATATTTCGAAGAATCGGCGGCTCGAGCTGTGTTTTTGTACACCGCCAAAGGACATCGTTATACAACCAGAAGGAAGATAAAATTGAATAAGCATCGAGAAAAACCGACTTTTGAAATATCTAATGAAGTAAGTGTTTTTTGAGTTTTATTGCTCGTGTTCAGTCAGGCGAGATATTTTCAACTGTTATGCTAAACAGGTGTGATGTAACCCTTGCTACAGCTTTTGTTATCAATTGAAAAAGCAAAATATCTGAATACGTAGGCATGCTTCTCACATTCACCCGCTCGAAATTTTCCGGTTTGACAAAAATGGCGACGGGAAGAAAACATTTCGCATATAAGTTCGTCAGTACGTTCTTCAGTACAGAGCGCCTTTTATCGGATTAACGCGGAAAGAATACAGGTTTTCAGTTACTAAAGCCATAACTAAAAGAAAAACCCAGTGTTAAAAGCTAGAAAATCAATCAGTATTATTGGTTTAAAAAGGCGTGAGATTGTCTATGTGATTATTTTTTCTTGGTTTGTATTTTATAGGCACGAGCGAGGGTTTTATTTGTCGTTGAAGAATTGTTGCAACTTGCTGACCAGAGGATAACTTCTGAAGATGATTTTTCCGTGAAGTATTGATTGAGTCCATCTTGAGATGATCGCTGTTTTTATTTTGTGCGTATTTTTAAGCACGAACAGCGTCGTCGAAGGGCAAACAACTTCCAGTTCAGCAACCAAACAATTTAAAGGTAAAGTCTTGTTATTTAATACTTGATAGTTTATTTTTTGTCTTCGGTCGCAACTTTTAAAGATGGAGCGCATTGTAAACTCTTAACACCGTTAAAGTTTGTATTGTGTGTGTGTATTATTTCAGGACATGAAAAGATTTGAATATTCGACTTTCAGTTCCAAATAGCGATCTCAAAAATAACTTTTATTATTTCCAAGCTGTTAAAACTCACTTCATTTAGAAAGGGAGCGCCAACTTTGTTTGCTAAAGGCGAGTCAAGCATCTTTCAACAACGATATTTTGTTGCCACAAAACGTGAAGAAAAACATAAAATATGTTTATAATTGACGTATGTTTGGTTCCCGTGAAAGAAACTTTTTCCGCAATTTTTAATGCTCGCCTGTCGGTTTGGACATGACCTCCGGTTGTTGTTAATTAAACACTTAAAATTGCTTGGCAATTTCGAATGGTTTGATCTCATGCGGAACAATGCAAATTTTCAGCTTTTGTCTGGAATGGTCTAGGGTCATAAACACAATGAGGTTGTGAACAACAGGAAAATATTGCCCTAGAAAACCTTTAATGAAACCCCAAAAGTTGCGCGTAATGAACCGGGTAGGTACAAAAAAATTCCAAAAAAAAGCTGTCATGACTTGAGGCCGTCGAGTCTATAAAAAGTAAAGAAAAAATGATTTTCTTTTCATGTTCAATTAAAATCACCAGATAGCTATTAAAAAATACCTGTAAATTCTAGATAATTGAGCTGGTGTTTATTTAAATGGTCAAAAAAGGGGGGAAACTGGGTGTTTAGGGATGTGAAAATGAATTTGTCAAAAGCGAATATTTTTGTTAATAAATTTAGTCCCCATAATTTTGTTATAATCTGATAACATCGGTCGGTTTTATCGGAAGGATAAGGACAGTCAACTATAAGCCTACCTACTATTGTAGGTGTATAACACAGGTTATTTTTGAAACGAATTACTTCAACTAACCAATAAGGAAGCTTTTTAAAGCATTAATTCTTATCTGATCTCTAAAAGTGTCCATGTAGTGCTAAGTACTGTTTTATAAAATCTGAGCACCACAAGAAATTTAATGTTTCAATATGTAAAATATACAGTATGTGCTGACAGGAACGAGGTCGATTGTTGATATGTTTGGAGGTAACGATATTTATTTAATAAGTTTCGATTCCCTGTCATGGCTTAATTTTTCTTTGTTATTTTACTAAACATATTCAAGTTACTTTTTATTAAAATGATCTTTCACTTATTCAGCACCTGTACGCAAATTATATTTTCAGCTTTTAATTTATTTTGTATTTGTTCCTTACAAATAATATTCGCGGACTCTTATTGTTTGTAAATTCGACGCACACTGATTGAGTTGCTTGCGAATACAAACGATGAAATACGTTTTTGATCCAGGTACAACAAAGCACAAAACTAACAATTTTTAACTTCGCACCATTCATAACATATCTGATGTTAAATCATGAATTTTTTGGCTTCATATAATTATATCTTGTTACTCTATTTTTTATCATTATTTTCATAAAATTTATTTTGTGTATCCGCGAAGAAAATTGTCTTCCGTTTAATGCCTCGTTCCACCAACTTTCACGAATTTGGATGTTACTTAACATTTGCACTTTAAAGCTTATTTTCCAGACTCTGAGCTACCGAAATTCTGTTTTAAAATTCAATGTAACATGCGGTTTTTTTTCCCATTTTGGAATAAAAACGTGTACTGCCCGTGGACGTCCTTGAAGATATATATAATTATATTTTTTTTTATCATGTTTTAGATCATTACTCAGTTCTAAATTCGTTTTGCCATTTTTGGTTCAGACGAATAGGCGACGAAAATTTTCCGTTGAATGACTTTGGTTTAATAAATTTTTTGAGTTTACGAAGATACATGGAATGTTTTTTTTGTTTTTGTTTTTTAGGTTAGAAGAAAACAAAAACTGATTATTTTTGGCCGCGAAGCCACAGATTTCACCTGAAATATGGACAAATCTTAATAGCATTCTTCTTTCCTATTTTGAACAATCAATCGAGACAAAACGGTGCCTGATCGTAGATCTTAAGAACCATGAAAACTTGGCAATTTTTTTTCCGTCATGGATTCGGAGTTACAAATATACAGAAGATTATTTGACATTTTAATATTGATAAAAATATGTCTTGCAAAAAGGCGTTGTCGATATCCTCTACTAGCAAATGGCGATGTTTATGAGTTACTTAGGATACCATCGAGGGAGTTTTGAATCGCCCGAAGTACAGGGGCCAGTTTCTTTTAGAAAAAAAGCTACGTAGCTTAGAAGAAAAACAATTACATTTTGTTTCACTGTAAAATCTAACTTAAGATGGTCACGCTGGAGATGGTTCACCTTCACTAAAACCAAATTTCCGTGGCCTCGGTGACCTCACTGCTATTTGTTACACAGGGGAGTCGCTCTGAAAGGCTGTAACTTCAACAGCGTGAGATGTTTAATGATGCACATTATTGTGTTCATAAAGACGCTAAACATTTGCTAATCTTAGCGCTTGATGCTCATGGATTTAACACCAATTTTTCAGTTTAATCTGGTGCCGAAGAAACTGGTACTCTCATCCCACCTCTAGCAATCTTTCAAAACTCTTGTCCAATCCCAATTATTTTAACTGATATTTTCCCTTCTTCTACATTTCTCGTAGTTCCTCAGGCCGCGATCATTTTCCTGGCATTTCTTGGAGCATGTCTTGTATTCGTATTTATCTTATACAAGATCCTTCATTCTAACATTTGCAAGCCAGACCACGAGAAATTGGGCGGAAAGAAAGGAGTGGGCTATGTTGAACTGGGTCAATCCCCTTCTTTGGGCGAGGATGTCATGGAAGAAACGGACAGTGTGGACTTTATGGAGCAGGAAACCACGTTGAGTGATAGATCCAGAGATAGTGATGCGGATTGGCATAAGCCACTCCAAGCTAAAAGCAGAAGTATGGGGGATCTGTTTTCCGACAAGTCGCCGAAAATACCTGCTCGGAGAAAGCTTACCACGTGGGAACGACCTTCGATCGAGGCCGTCAAGGCAGCAAGTCATCTTAACGTACTCACTGCATATGGTGATGCGGCTAGTACTCAACGTACTGCCCGGAGATCTCGACCATCTAGGGGGGAAATTAATTGTATTGCAAAGCTCCAGGTTTCTGTCGGGTATTCTCAGACCTCCAATCGCTTGGAGGTGACAATTATTCGCGTGCAAGACTTTCCAGAGTCGATCGCCCTGAATAGCACTACGTCATCAATGTCCGTGCATCTCACACTGATGCCCTCCAAACGATTTCGGTTTAAAACGAAAACGAAGGCCACCGCTGATGTGACGATCAATGAAACTTTTGTAATGCGCGGGGTAACGGAAAGTGAACTTATGGATAGCACATTTCGTTTTCGCATCTACTCACAGGGATCCATGAAAAAAGGGAGACTACTAGGTGAAACAGAAACAAACGTAACTGATTTTGATCTTGACGACATCGTATCAACAATGTGGATCATGGTACCCCCTGCCGATGAACAGAAAAAACCCACTCCCAGCAAGCCGAGACCTCCGCAGCGCAAATGATATGGACTTTGAATGATCTAAATCATGTTTTACAATTAGAGACATTTAAAGGATAGTTTGACTATCTTTTGTTCTATGAAAAGAAATTACACTGAAAGGCAACGTTGAAATCCATTTTGGTCATGGAGTCAGTTTATGGAAAATGTTAAGTAGTTTGAACTTTTCAGCCTGTGCATTGGAGCCGGTCATGAAGCCGATCAAATGAATCCTCTTTTATCATATAATTTCACATAGTGCCATTTGTTTTTCAATATTATACAAATGAAATATGCATTTTTCGTAACATTTTAATCAGTAGGCAGGGACTAAAATCTTTTATCTGAATGGCCAGGCACTTGGAAAATTTAACTAACAGACTCAAATGTTAGGAACTCCTTGTATAGTACCAAAATTAAAAAAGCACCAAAGTGAAGTGTCGCTTTCAGTTGAAAAGGCTGAAATTGACAATTTGAAAAATTGTGAATTAAATATTGAGGGCTGCAGTGCTTTGTCTCAGTGTTTTGAATTGAATGGTTGTTCACCATCAGTCTGAATGTTTGTTCACATGGTGAACCCTTTTTTTTAACTCAATACTCCATGGTAGAAGAGTGAACCTACATGTGAACTGTAAAACTGCTGAAAAATAAAAAGTAAATCCATGAATTAAAAGGGGGGGTGGGGGGGGGGGGGGGGCAAAAAATAAAAAGGGGGAAAAGTTAATGGGGGGAAAATTTAGTGGTTTTTTTTTTTTTCCCATTTTTTTTTTATATAAAACGCAACTTCTTTTTTTTAAAAACAAATTTTTTTAGGTTTTTTCCCCCAAAATGAAAAAAAAAAAAATCTTATGGTGACTATTAGTTAAGAGAGAGTATATATACGATAAAAGGAAACAAGGAAAAGAGAGAAGATGAAAAAAAATGAAAAAAGAGAAAAATGGGAGGGAGGGTGGGGGGGGGGGGGGGGGGGGGGGGGGGGGGGGGGGGGGGGGGGGGGGCACGAATCATGAAGTGGCAAACGTTAATTGAGGTGATATTTAGTGTGTTTGTTCTAGTTACTCATTATTTGTTACTGACAAGCCGAATCTCTCTTTTTACAGACCAATATTTTAAGGTTCTCTGTCCCCAAATGGACAAAGAATAAATCCCAAGGTAATGATATTATACCAAGCGGCGGGATTAACAATAACGGTCAGTTGTTTTGTTGAATCGGTGGAAAACATTTTGACTGGTTTTTATCGACGAATATTTTGAATCAGCGGGCGAAGTTCCCTGGCTCCAGAGGTCCGTTCTAAAATACCTAGTATGAAATAACCTCTGTTACACTACTGCATGAGAAATTTCTGCAATTTGATTGGCTTAGAGCAGTGGTATTTCAGCCTAAATTGAAATACCTACATGTGAAAATTACAAACCTTTTGTGGGTAGTAGTATAAACAAATAATAGCATGATTTCTACGTGATATTTGGCATAAATACCACTTGTGATATTTCAAAATTGTCCCAAATTTCACTCGCCTAACGGCTCGTGAAATTACGTATAACAATTTCGAAATATCACTCGTGGTATCTATGCCAAATATCACCACAAATCATGCTATTACCTACACAAACCCAGGGTCAGGCGAAGTTGCGACAATAATTACAATTTTAGTAGCAAACTCTTTTCTGTTGAATGCACCTTCTTTCCCTTTATGTTGGGTCCCATATATTAAGTTCGTTTGTAACAGCATTGTATATACTCGATTAAACGCCGTCCTTGAATATGTACCCCAGATGAAAGCAACATTGCCAAACAACGCCGCATCCAATCCGAAGCATGCGGGGTTCATTCAAGGATTAAATAAGCCAAAAAATAACATCAACAGATGACACGTACTGAACAGCTCGGTGTTATCGCCATCAAGTATGATTCCAACCTTCCTCAACGAAAAGCAGTAAAGCTGACTTGAATTTTTTTTTTTCCTGTGGTAGTAACGTAATATTTTCAAGTGATCAGTCAGTGATTTAAGAAATGATTTTGAAATGAACGTGGCCCTTAAACCCTTAAATACAACGGTGAAAATTTAATAAACTACTCGGTGTTCGATCGAGTAAAAATGGTATGGTTACTCCTTTTAATCCAAGACTGCTCATTCACCCTCCCCAAACAGACAGTAGTTGATGTTTCGATGTCTGCGAAAATGTTTACCTAGTAATTTTGCCTAGTCCCTGTACGGCGTTTTCTCAGGCCTTGTCGGTCAATTTACTTCGGTGACGTATCCGAGGTGTATGAAAGGGCGGTAAATGCCTCACATCTTCGCTTGCACCACGTGACCCGAAACGCTTTGGTCGCGCGGAATAATGAGGCCTAGGGACTAGGCGAGGAAGATGTCTCATTGGGTTCCTCTGTTGAAATACTTTTGTTTAACCATATACCGGTGGCACTCATGCACCAGTCGTTTGTTTTCTTCTTCATCGCTTTGCCGTCAGCTTACCATTATATTGCGCATGCAAACTAGTCGTACTATCTTTAGTTGAGGTGGCATTTATACATAGGTTACGAGTTAAACCTTAGTGTTCTGTATTTAGCACAAATTGCATGTTTCCATACCCCACTTAATTGCAATAGCTGCGAGTACAAGTAATTTTTAATTTTTGTTTGACAACGTTGAAAATACTACTGAAATAAAATAGACATCACACAAAGAATACATGATCTAAGCTTGTAAATATACACAGGTAATTCTTGTAATTGGAAGGTATTAAGTATGTACTCTCTTTCTCTCTCTGATTTTAAACTACATACTATGGCAAAAAAAGGCACATCATAGATCAGCTTTATTTTTCCGAGGCTTTGCTTATCGGTAATTATATCTTAGTTTTTTTCAAACGAACATGCCTTTGAGGAAATTATTATCCATTTTCGTAGAAAATACTTGTTGATTTTGTAGCCTTTATGGTACTTTGTACAATACTTTATTAACGCAGTTTAGTTTAAGTTTCCATCCTTTAGTAGTGCAAACAAGGAACTTTACCGGCGGGACTAAACAAAAAACAACACGATAATTTAATACTATTGTTAACTCATGGCAAAAAAACAAAAAATGCTAAAACCTCTTCTCTCTTGTACTTTCGACCTATAAAAGTCGTGAAATAATATTATCTACTGTATCTAGGATACCCTTAGCAACTGAGAAACGTAATTACAAGATTTTAAAATGGGTAAATAGCTGTAGTCCGTCGAGGAGATGGCTTCGTAGAATGTCTGTATTTTAGTTATTTTTGCTCATTTTTTTCAGTAACGAGCTGTAGACTTCAAATGAAACTACAAAAAGATTTCCTCTATCAAATGAATGCCGCATGGCATTATACACAATTTTACACAACTTTAGATAAACTCGAAAAACGTCAGACCTTTTTCAATCTGTCCATGCAAGTATTTCTTCAGTCTACAGTTTTGAGCGGTTTTAACTCCACGACGAGTTGGAAATTGCTGAAATTGTGTAAAATTAAGCGAGCAAGCCCCTTTAACTTTTTAATGTTCTCGGGTAAAAATAAATACGACCGGAGTGGACTACAAGTTGCCCCTCGTTTTTCTTGGACTGCCAAGCTAAAACGCGGGGAAATCCATGGCCGCTCCGCACGCGACTGGGGACGAGACGCGCAAAACTTTCTTACTTTTTATTCTTGTGCTTACGCTCTCGTTTCTCAGGTTTACAGTACCCAATGTAGAAAGAGTGTTTACGAGGATCAATATACAACTTTCAAGAAAAATTAGTGACTGCTCGTAGTCAACGACCGTGGAGACACCTGTTAAAGAACCCTTATTAAAAAAAGCCCTCTGCCCTAAGTCATGATACATTAATAAACTCTTTTTACCATTCCCCACCATGTGTGTGGTTCACACTGAATCACGTGCCAAGCTCGTGGCTTAATCAGGTGAGGGCATGCATTTAAGCCGTTCAAAGGCAGCAGCTTCCAAAGCTTCTCTGTGATCAGGATGGGCGATTCGTATCAGTTCATGAGCTCGTTGACGAATGTTCTTGCCGAACAAGTAGGCAATCCCATACTCAGTCACGATGTAATGCACATGAGCACGAGTAGTTACTACACCACCACCTAACAAAAGAAGATTATAAGTGTTTTTAACTCGCTGCACCAAAAATATATTTAAAATAAAAGTAAAAATAAATAACTAACTTGATGGAAAACAGTGTGAGTTCGGCATGTTTATTTTCAAAGTACAACTCAAAGTCGGTCCTCTTTCCCAAGTCCAGCACCTAGGCTCCGTCTATTGGGGAAAACATGTCGCCCGGGTAGAAGGGTGACTCGCCTGCACAAGTTCCCCTGGGCGGGCGAGCCAACTTTTCCAACATTTCCTTACAAAACTTGGTCAACCGTTTACTTGAGAAGAACAAAGTTGACTCGGCTAGTAGAAAGGTGACCCTCTTTGCCGCGTCACCCTTTTTTCACTGGTAAGATCACACTCATTATCAGGCTAACTTTTCTCCGAACACTTTGGCTCGACCACACGGGCCAACTCGGCCAAGACGAGAGAATAAGAGCATGCGCGAGTGCTGTTTACAGCTTCAACTTTTTTTCTCATTTAAACGCTCGCTAAAGCGAAAACTCTTCCCCACATAAACAAAAACGTGATGCCTTAAAACTGAGGTACAGAAAATTTAACCGAGTATCAATTGTCTGCGGTAAATTTCCACACATTTCGGTTCAGACTGAGACTACAACAAGCGTTAGTATACCTTGTTTTAAGAAAGGTACAATCTTCGACTCTCCTCTTTTGGTGACGGAATTGAGCGCTAAGATTGGTTTTCCCAGACCATCTGAACCAAGTGCAGCACCTCGTAAAAAGTCCACCTGACCTCCAACACCTGATCATAAAGAAAAGAAAAAACAAAAGTAAAGAAAGTTCAGAAACTATATAAGGGTATGGTCGCCAAAATGAACTGATGAGATATTGAAGTGATAAGAAGCCTCGGATAGTAATTTCAAACGAAACTCTATTGATGCCTGCTTTGTGTTGTGAAACACAGAATTTAAGTTTTATCAGTGGAAACCATAGCGTGAACACAGCAACCTACGTAATGAGATTCAAAGGCTAAATTTTTAAGCGCAAGCTCTTTGTCAGAGGCACATGACATGTTGTGACCATTCAACTGAAACTCCTTGCCGTGGGTATTGAGCTTTCATGTGACAGGAGGTGTTAAAGCTTGGAATCTGTTCCAAGGTGGGCGTAATAAAAATTTAGGATCTTGAACAGGACGTCTTTTTGGACCGGAAGCCTTTAAAAGAGTGTAAAGGTTGCCCAAAAAAGATATACATTTGCGGTACCAAAAATGTTTCCTCCAAAAAATCTCATTCCAAGATGTCAGTTTTTTTTAAAAAAGATACTTAATTCTGTATGCGAAAAGAAATAAATTAAGGTCATAGGATAAAGTCTCTCCTCTGAAACAGGGTCAGGAACTGAAGGCCTCGGTGGCACGATTCAACCACAACTTCCCTTACGATACAGGGTAGACACACCTGAATAGAGTCTTGTTCCAATGGAGTCCGAGACAACTTGTCCAGTAAGGTCCACTTCAATGCATGAATTTATTGCCGTGACCTTGGGGTTCTGACTGATTATTGACACTAAGTTCACAAACCCAACATCCAACATAACTGAAAAACATAAAGATCGATTTTTATATTATTATTATTATAGTTTTTCTTGTTTTTTTTTTTTTTTTTTTGCTCCAAGAATATCTCTTTCATCCCAACCCCGACCGCTGGAAGGAGGTTTTGCTAAGGTTCCACCACCAGCTGTTAACAGAATCTACGCGTAGCTTGCACTTTCCTTTTTGGTTTCGTAGTTTGGGTGATAAAGTTTATACAGCGTTCCAAATCTCCATGTTTTTGGAGTAAAATTCCACTTCGGATCATGTTGATCTATCTATAGCTTGACACGATAATTTTGTCTAACAGTGCAATTCATTTTCGTTTTCCATCTGCAAATAGAATATTATTAGAATTATTATTAACCACTGTTTACCATCAGTCCAGTGCAAGCGTGTTTCCTCGGGTGGGCGAATGCCCGGGAGTTTTCACGTAACTGCATTGTTCAGTTGTAAAAAGTACCCCAAGGGATGTTGATTCTTCTCTTCACTTGTCTTCCTCAGTGATAAATCAAAGGTGATAGCCAGGGTATTACAAACAAACAAGCACTGTTCGGCCGCAACCCAAAAAAAATACGCCTGAATTGGATGCTTTCGAGACCATGGTCAAATCCTGTTCAGACAAATTTTGAAGACAACGTACTCACACCAGATAAATTGAATACAGTGTCAGCAACTTACCAACAAAAGGGTTTTGATCAATAAACTCAAAAACTTTCTCCGTTCCGATGACAAAACTTCCCACACATCGTCCGGGCAACACTTTCTTTGTAGCATTGGTTACAGCTCCTCTCTCAACCAAAGGAACCACGCCATCGCTAAACATCTCGGAGTGAATTCCAAGGTCTTTGTGGTCCATTAGACGGCTCAGACACGCATCGGGTATGGAACCAATGCCTAATACAGGTGAAGGAAAATAAGAATCAGAAGAAGAGTTTAACGGTCAGTTGCCGATCCTGGTATAAGCTTGTGAGTTGTATGTCAACATTCACGAAGTCAGGGGTGTAACCAAAAATTACCAGAGGTGCGTGCCCACAGTTTTCCAGATTAATCCCACCCCGTCTCTCACATCGTTTTAACGCGGGTGACTTGATTAAATTTATGGTGAGGTAATCATACCTCTCGGTCTTAGGATCGGCAAGCAGCAGTTACGAATTTTACATAAGGCAAAATCGGGGAAAACAAGGGACATACATGTTGTTTTAAAAAAAGTTACAGCAGAGTTACGTGGGCAACTGCACTGTTTTCAAAATTTTCTTTACTCATTTTAGTTTTCCTTTTTTTTGAAACTTGTCTTCAACATTTTTCTGGTACAGCAGCGTGCAAAGGAAGTCGTGTCCGATAGCCCGGGGTTAGTGGATTTTGCTATCGGGCTAGTGATTTTTGTTCTTACCTTGCCCGACGGGCAATTGCTGTTCTTTGGGGAAATTCAAATTACAGAAGGATTGTAATCAATCCTGCTAATCAAAAAGGGTTTTGGGGCTAGTTGAAATGACTTGTGGGCTAGTACATGCTAGCTACAGCTTGCCCGAATGGCAGGCTGTAAAATGACTTTCTTTGCACCCTGTACAGTGTACGTACCGTGCACACTTGCTTACAGGACGGTATGTCTCCCAGCACTCAGCTATTTCTGTTAAGGTTGTTGGACCTAAGCTATCAAGCCTACGATACGCCACGTTAAGGGTCACGTGGGTAACTGTAAGCCCTTTAAAGATTTGGTCATAATTTCGTGGTTGTGCCATAGAATGGTATAAAAAGTCAGGAACGGGTATTAAGGAGATGAAAAATTTTTACGATCAGTTAGAATTACATAGGAGTTGCCAGTCAGTGAGAGTAACAAAATGAAGTCATTGCTTATTTTTTCTTGCCGCAGTATTTCTCGGCACATTTTGTGTTAACAAGTGAGAGCCTCTCATTATTCAGAGGAACTGTCTCCGAGTTTTACATTTTCGTGGACAACAATGAGCTAAAACAATTCTGTGTATTTCAAATGCATTGTTAGATATTGTACAGATTATGATTAGATGGTGACTTTGCCTTACCTTTGTATGGCATAAAAAATTAATAATAATAATAATATGTAAACTGACCCATTTGGAGAGTAGCACCATCATCCACAAGATTCTCAGCAATAAATTGACCAATTTTAGCCTCCTCTGGTGACTCTGGTTTAACTTTAAGTTCTGGAAGTTTAAACTCTTGTACACAAAGCACATCAAGATGAGACTGATGAATTCCTCCTGGGCCATGTGTGCGTGGACAGCGGGGGTTTACAAGTCCTAATTAACCAAGAATAATGAATCAACAATACTAAAAAGCCACCTACAAAACAAACACGTTTCTTAACTGTGGAAATTTAATTACCACCCCACAAATTGTCACTAGTGAAGAACCTGCTACCGCTGCCAGCTATTGTACAATAGTTATTTTCCTCAAATTTTGAGAACATTGATGGGTTCCATACAGGAATACAGAGACCCATGATATTTTGGAGGTAGAGTCATGCAAGTTCAAAGGATTAGCAAATCAATAAGACCTTTAAATGTAGATAATACATAAATGTGTATTGCATCCTTGTCAGTTATATGATAATGATTTGAAATCATGATTTTTATTGCATAATCCTGTATATGTACAATGTATAAGTATAACACATCATACTTATTGCCCATCGGTGCAGGGGTTAATGTGGACAAATTAAAGCAATTTGAAATAAATCACCTCTCATCCCAATCCAGGGAGGAAAGAAAAAAGGTCTGTGGGGATTCCCGAAGGGTAATTTGTACTCCGCCAGGTCTTCATCCACCATGAGCAATCAAGATCTATGGTGCCTTTTAAAACTTGGTGACCATCCTTGACCGACAAATCACAACACATGGAAGAACAGCCAGTAAAACCATGTGACCAATCTATAGACTTGAAACACAAAGCTACTTGCGTTCTGATTTCAAGACCATCTTACCTATAATGTACTTAGCATTCTGTATGGCAGCTCGTGTACAGTCGACACTTGGTCCAAGGGTGCAAAATCCATGTTTGTCAGGAGGACTGACTTGTATCAGGGCCACATCTAGATCAATTATTTTCCGATGAAATAAAAGTGGAATCTCACTCAAAAATATGGGTGTGAAATCAGCACGACCCTCATTCACAGCTTTACGGCAGTTTGCTCCAGTAAACAGAGAATTGCTTCTAAAAATTCCTAAACAAAAAAATATATATATTGCGCTTAACCTCTATTTTTATCTTAATAAATAATATTTTATTAAGAAAACAAAGATGACATATAAGAAGAATATAAGTATTAGTTATCCTTAACATACATTATTTTCCATAAGAAGGGTCTAAGAAAGATGGAAATATTAAATTAGAGAACCTAGATTAATGCCTCGAAGAAGAAGGCTTGACGGTTGTAAATATCAGTAATACTCAAGTTGCTTTGTTCTTCGCTGTTTTGTTAATATTACTAGATTAATATGTCCATCTTCAAAACTGACAACAAGCAAATAATATGTTTGATATTCAGCATGCAGTCAAACCTCCTCAAATGGCCATTTCTCCTCAATGACCACCTCCCCACAACAGTCACTTTTTTGGCGGATAGTCCATACATGGACTCGTTTGAACCTCTATAAAATGGGCATCTCTCTACAGTTGCCACTTTCTTTTGTCCCCACGGTTGCTATTGAGGAGAGGTCCAACTGCATTGATTTCATACATGTAGCTTTCAAGAACTAACTTAAGGTTTAGCTGCCCTAATTTGCAGTATTGCTAGCGGGTTTAGGATCAGGGCTAGTATTTTTTTTTTTGGATAAAAGTCAATTTATTTTTTTTGCCATAAAAAAGGAATTGCATTGTTTGGAGTGCTCCATACTAGCTGTTATAAAGGGCATCCTAGTTTTCAAAACATTGAAAGTTTTAAATTCTAAATTTATGGTGGTAAAACCAGACTTACCAATGCTCAACATGACTTTGAATGGAAATATATGACAAGACTCATATTTTCTCACGACCTTGTCAAGAGTCTCACAATTTAATGACATACTTTATTGGTACTTAACTTCATGTTTTTCCTGATTATAAAAGTTAAGTTCCCACAAAATTAAGTACCAATAACGTATCTCATGCTCTCAAGAGCTAGTTGACAACTGATTCTCACGCTTTCTCAAAAAGTCACAAGTACTCCACAAAATTTTTGGAACATCAATAGGATTTCTTTCCAAGGTAAGTATAGCAAAGTAAATCTAAAGAAAATGCCTAGTGATCGCTTTAGATTAACAAACATGTTCATTCAGTGTTCTTACCAGGATTTTCTACACTGGGGTCCACAGGACCCATACTAGAGAAGCTAAAAGGGGTTCATGAGGGAGAAAAGCAGGTCACAATTTTAGATAGAGTTAACTCAACATTTTCACAGGTCTGAGTTAGAGTAAATACCTCATACCGCTTTCTCAGAGAATGATGGGTGTTTTCTTACGAGGCGAATAACCAATAAAATTTTGGCTTATATTGTAAGGAAATGATTTCTTCTTTGCTCCCTTGGGACCCCTGGGCTATACAATAATTATAGAGAGCGGCATTTTCCGAAAAAGTGCAGCGATGCCACAATGCCATGGTCTGGTAAGAACACTGTTCATTGGCAACTTGGTGCATTGTTTACATTATTTTTTCAGCCATGTCTTCAGCCTACCGCGAATTCTACTGCCACTTATACCGTGATACCCACCTCATGGCCACCTCGTTAAAATGGTCACCTCAATTTTACAGCCACTTTTTTAAGCCCAGCAAAGCAGCCATAATCTGTATCTAAAAACCCTTATTGATGCATTTAAATGGCCAACAGCCACATTTTGAATACCCAAACAGTAGAATCTTTTACAATTTTACCCCATTAGTACGGTAAATCTTTCTAAACTCACAATGTAGAAAATTAGAATGCTTGTGACATGTCAATTTTATTGACCTAGTAATAAGGTGAGCCTGATCTTTTGACTATCTTACATTTCAAGTGTACTGTAGTCTAAAAACAGTACAAGTACGAGATAATCGAAAGATCAGGCTCACCTTACCAGGTCAATGAAATTGACACGTCACAAGCACTTTAGTTGTGGCAGTTAAATAACCGATTTTTAAAAGTGCTTTAAGTACCGCAGGAAAGTTTCAAAAAGTTTTTGTAATTATTAGTGGTTCAAGAAGTGCAAATGCAATGTATGATGTATTTGTTATTACAGCCCTCAGGTTATAAAATCTGACCCTACCCTGGCCATGGTAATACTACCACCCTATTAATACAGCCCAATTTTTTAAGTGGACCCATTCTTGGTGACCATATTAACAGGGTTCCACTAGCTGTATTAATTACTGCTGCCACCAAATCTGCAAACTCACTATTAAAATAAACCTAAATCTTTCATTTCAAGATCACTGCCAACAAATAATAATAATAATAAATAATAATAATAATAATAAAATAGATTCTTATTAAGCGCATTTCTATCCTCAATGCGCTTGTGTACATGGCAGAAGCAACAAAGAAGATTGCTTGTGATGTTTACTGTTCCAGCTTTAAAATGAGATACAAGACTTCTATTACACCCATAATCCCTGCTGGAAGTCTCTGAGTTATCTCAGGACTTCCATCACCTGCGTTGAACTTTCATGGTTACCCTAGGCTCCCCCCCCCCCCCCCCTTCTCACGGCTTTTCCCATCTCTAGGTTCAGAATCTCAAGATTTTGCCTCTTGAGGGTTAGAAACTCTGTAAAACCAAATTTTTGTGTTTACATGTAACTCCTTGACTAATATAGCACAACAATTTCTTTCAAAACTTAAACACCTTCATTCATGATCTGAAGTAGAAATCAAACCCACCATTGAATTCTGATTAACAGTAACTCAAGACCAACCTGACTAGCTTCTCATACCCTGTGAAACTGTTTTAGCAGATGTCAACAGGCCTTAATTACCTTCAAATTCAGGTGATACCACCTTGTCATGTGCCTCTGTGTGGATATGGATCAGTTCTACATTCTTTAACTGGGCTTCTTGCCCTCTCTTAGCCAAAGCATCAAGTAATGGAAGAGGAGTAGCAGCACCTCCATGGACGAATACTTTCATTCCTAAAGAGAGAAATGTGATAAGATATAACATTAATTTTTTAAAAGACATAGAAAGTGCTTTTTCATACTTATAAGGTACTTGCACAATAACTTCGATCCATCAAAGTAAGTACATGCAAGCAGGTTTCAGTATTAACCCATTCGCCCCTGAATTGCCTGTAACCACCCGTGTGGATCCACATCCCTTCTACCATTTGTGACTTTAACAATTAGGGACAACTTTGTCCGTTAACTTGTGCAGGGTGAAGAGATCTTTCAAACCATACCAGAATAAGCACGACTCAGTCTAGGAGGCCAGAGAAAAAGGCAAAAAACATTGATCTGAAACTTTCCGTGAAAATCTAAGTTGTTCCTCTATACCCACCTTTTCCTTTCACCTAATCCTAAGATTCTAAAAGCTCTCCCAAAACCTTTTAACCAAAAGTGAAGCCTACTAAATGCCCAGCAAAAGAAAAACAAATGAGGCAAGAAAAGTGAAAGAAAAAATGAAAAGAAAAAGTAAAGACTGCTGAGACACTTTTAAACCTAAAAACTATTTTGAAATTTTGCTTTCTGTGTATTCCTGAGCTTCGAAAGCTAATGTTTTGCTTCTGAATCGAAAGGCTAAAAAGCGTACAACCTGAAAATTGCTTGATTAGCTTTAAAACGCGTTTTTCAGCAAAAGTCGCAAGGGCGATTTGGTTAAAGGGATCTGTAGGGATTTAGCCAGACCGATTGAAAACTGGAAGATATCTCCCAAAAAAATTGTCAGAGGTTACAAAAATTTCCTTTAATTTGCTGTTTCCATTTCATTAATGTTTCATCTGAAACTTTTAACAATTTTATTCATTTATTTATTTATTTTTTTTATTGTTGGCCTTGAATTGAATTAATTCCAACAAAAAGTGCTACACATCATAAATTTCCATAAATCTACTTTTACTCTAATGCCACTAACTAACACTATCAATCTAATAATAATAATAATAATAATAATAATAATAATAATAATAATAATAATAATAATAATTCAAAAATTTACAACATGCTAATATCTATTAAATATAATCAACATTTTGAATACATCAAGTCTACAACCAACTCTCCTCACTGTACAGACACAAACTGATTTCTCACACTGTTATAGAGTGAAAGCTTGTATTATTTGGGGTTTACCCACTATGCCTGACCCCAAGCCTAGCCCTAGCCCTAGCCATAATGCCCCCACCCCACCCCAGTCCTTTCACAAAACACTGGCAGAGCGCAGGTTTAACACAGGTAAATTAATATGTTTTAGAATTTTACGAAATAATGATCCTATGACCTGTCAGTTATATTTTTACCACACTGCTCTAGCTAGCGTTAAGAAAATTAATGCTTTCAAATGATCGTGATAAGATTCGCTGCAAACTTCGCATCACTAAAATGGAAACTAGACCTGCTGTAGCTTGTTCAAAAATATAATTAGTGACCTGATTGGATAACTTCCATAGCTTCATAAGGTGATTTCCAAGCTGGAGTTCTACCGGGAAGTGGATGAAACGGCTCAGAAGAATATGTATAATAACTTCGATCTGAGGGAAGAAATAGAAAACTGATGTCAAAATACATAAGACTATTATTTATAGCACATAATATAAAAAGCAGGCTTCAGCTTGAGCTTTGCTTATTATTTAAGATTTTAGTCAACCATAGCTCACTTGATCGTTTTTATCGAATTTCATACTGGAAATAAACCCACAATTCGCATCAGTAAGAAAAAAAGAACGCAAAAAGGACATTATTTCAACCCACCTTGTTTTCGGAACCATATTTCCTCACGCGCGTCTTTGAGTGCGAAAATGTACCTCGTTTGCGATAGAAATCCTCGTCGAGTTACGCAGCGTAATAACTTGGGTAGCCGTGAATATAAGGAAGACATTTTCCTTGAAAATTGCCCACCTATAACTCTGTTAGACGTTTAATTTCGCTTGGCTATCGTCTTGAATGACAAAGTGCACGTCCGGCCGGGGAAATTAGCACCGGAAACCCAGCTAAACCATACGTCATTCCTGCAGCACCATATTTGGCATATGAAAGGAAAAATGGGTAACGCAAAACACGGGCATGCAAGTTGTGAAAGACTGCAAATCAGTCACTTTTTTTCTCAAAATCGGATTTGATAGCGGCGCGTACGATCACGCGCGAGAGAGAAAAATCGCAGTCTCGCACTCCGTTTTCTCGTGTGATCCCGCCAAAATTTAAGTTATCTATTTTCGGTATATCGCTTAATTGTGGCCTGTAAATTTCTCATTCCCCCGGGTCATTCCCCCAGCAAAGTTTGTCCTGTGTTATCAAATTCGACAACACCAAATTATATTCTGTGATTCTAATTTCGATAACTGCAAATTCGATGTCTCGACATCAAATTCTGTCAGTCTAAATCCTATCCCGTGATCATCAAATCCTATGACGTGCGCCAATTTCGATAACGCTAAATTCGATGCCTCAAACATCAAATTAATTCTGTCACACTAAATTTTATCCCGTGTTCTCAAATTCGTTTGTACCAAATCCTATGCTGTGCGCCAATTTTGATAACGCCAAATTCGATGCCTCAGTCCACATCAAATTCGGTCACACCAAATTCTGTGGGACACTCATTTATACTCAGTAGCAGCAAGCGAATTCAGCGGGCACTTAACAAAATCTGTCAGTGGGCACACAAAATTGCAAATCCGACAACTTCAAATCCTGGTACCTAGTAGGGCCCATTCTCGTCCCCAGAGCCACTCGGCTTAAGGCCTGGTTACATAGTAGAGGAGTTAATTTATTTCCCGCGCTGAAATAATTCATTCCGTTTCACTCCACTATGGCGGAGAACTCTTCTTCGTCGAGTCCTTCGACGTCGTCATGTACTTCATCAAACTTTACCACCGTAGTATCTTTGCTTAGACAAGCAGAGACTTTGTTACAGTCATCCGTGAATCCTGTAGCACAACAATCAAGTGCCGAAACGAATGAATGTTCATCGAGCGTAACAGCTGATCAAAATCGATCGCTAGCTAACTTTCGCTCATTGTTTACCCGGTACGGTACCGTACGCCCTTGCCTTACCCTTGTTTAGGGCTGGCTAGGCCAGCAGCTGGTCCACCGACGAAGTAACCTGAGATCAGGCCCAATTTGAGCGGTTCTCATACATTCTCTCTAACGGCTACCGCTGAAATCTCTTTTCGTTTCGCCTTTCGCCGGAATGTAATTTTCAAAGCGAAACGAAAATAGAGCCTGATTTTAGGTTACCGACGAAGCGCAAAAGAGGGAATGGGGTTTTTGTTGTAGAAGAAACGTGGACACACGAGTTTTTCTGTCTGGCGAACTACTGCTAGTCACATGTGCCCTCCAGAAGTGAAAAGTTCCACTTGCAAGACGCCGGACTCAGGAGGAAAACAATCGTCTTCCACCACAAAGACCAACCTCTCGCCTCTGCCGAAAGGATGGAATCAGTTCATCTGAAACTCAAAGACGCAGGTGGCTTTGATCTGCTGAGGAGTGGGCCATTCAACAAGGACCTCGCGGCCATTTTTCCGCCTGTATCCGGGTACTCTGTTTCTTTCCTACGCGTATCTTCAGGTCTTACGCAAGCAGTGGCCTACATTAGACCACTACAAAAGCTTCTAAGCATTTGCGGTTGCGAAAGACGTTTTCAAGGTAAGGTTAACCGGACTTAAACCATTTTGGGGGCGTGGGTGGATTCTTTGTCAAGGTGAAATTTCCTCCACAGTAGCACGCGACTACGAACCTGTTAGGCCCCAGGTAGCCCAAGTTCGAAATATTTCGGCATATTGTTGCGTAACATTCGAAATATAAGGAGTTGTATGGTTTTCTCCATACATAAGGATGAGAGAAAACCGTTTACAGTACAACCCATCAAACGGTCATAAATTGGCCCATGGACCACACAGGAGAGATGTAACACACATTTCATGTAAGGTAAGCTGTTTTTTTATTGCAGTCCATTCATTTTTGCAGGTTACAGAAACGATAGGTTTTTTCCCCATACAAATATTTATATTTCAAATGTTACCCAACAATGCCGATGCTTGCCGATGCTCATATTTCTTATAATGCGAGGTATAATGTGACGCTTAACCCTTTTTTTTATCAACGCAACAATGATAATAAACAAAATGTTGTATGTAACCCCTTTTGTGTAGCAGGAATCCATGACTTCTCGAAGGCTTATGGCTATTGTCGTGGTAACAGCATTTGTTTTCGTATAATTAATGTCTTCATCACATTGATTCGGCCAAGTGGTTTATTAGCCAACAAGGGTGAACAGGGCATTTTGAGCGAAATGCTTAACACCCACACCACAAACACGTTTTCTTGCCTTAAATCGTTTTTTTTTTTTCGCCTTTGCGTTGCTACCAAAATGCAAATCAGTTATGTCATCCATAAGGTACCTATTATCTGGCCTACCAAAAACAATTTTCCCCATTTACAAATGGCTCTTTTAAGCGAATTGGATAGGCTGCTGTTGAAAGAATATCATACAACCCTTACAGCCCTTATAGCTCTTACACCGTTACAACCCTTACAGCCTTTACAGTCCTTACACCCTTACACAGAGAAAGCAGAGAAAGAAACTTACTAAAGTAGCTAATCGTCTCTTGGCTCATTTTTTTGTGCGTTAAACTACCCGCAGAAAATTAACTTTTTTTTTCTTTTCTTAATACCTTGGCTTCAACTGGGAAAGAAATGGGGATAATTAGAGATAAAAGAATGGACCATTAGAAAAGTGATGAGGGGGAGGGGTGGGGATTTTAAGAGTGCAAGATTTTTTTCTTTGGTACATGCAAGGTGGAAATCTTTTTTTTTTTTTTCCTCCTTGGTTTTATCTTTTTTTTTTTTTTCCTCCTTGGTTTTAAACTTTTTTTGGTCAGAATCCATAAGAATTTTTTTTATATTAATAATTTCGTGGGGAATTTATTTTTCTGCTTTTGCCCCCCACCCCCCCCCCCCCCCCCCTTTTTTTCTATTTTTTCTCTCCCCTCCTCTTCCACCAATATTTATTTATTAAATATCCACAGCACACCCACCGCGCACTTTGGAATTAGGTATCTATACTATTTCAATTATTTTCTTATTTTTTTTTTTTTATTTATTTTGTTGTGAGAGCTATTCTTACAGCGCTTGTTTGTACTTATCGTCATGGATTAATGTGACAAGTTATTTCTTACAGACTTGAGACAACGCAAAAGAGAGAGCTCTGATATTTCGCAGGCCCTGGAGACTGTGAAAAACGATATCTCTATCAGATTTATTTGGCATATGTGACACATTGAGTGAGGTAGTACCAACTATGGTTCTTTACATGGAAAGTCCTAAACGCCTTGCGGCTGACCACCA